GTTGACAGAGGAATGTTCTTTCACCGTGGCGAATGGAGAAATCATTAAGATTCATAGGGAGGTACCGAGATTAACGATAATTTGCGGGGGCGAATGCTTTACGGGAAACTTTCTGGTAGGTCAGGTGCCGTACGCTGTGATCCTCGGGATCGATTGGCTTGATAAGTATAGAGTGGCGTGGTTCTTTGAGTCGGATAAACTTAGAACGTATGTAAATGGAAGAACGTGTAGCTTACCGGTGCTAAGAAGAGAAGGTGAGAGGCCTAAGGGGTCTGTGGGAAACTGGGAGGCGGACAAAACGGAGGCGGACTGTGCCTATGAAGAGTTAGCTAATCAAATATCTAAGATGACGGCTGAGGAAGCAGCGGTATTTTTACGTTCTCCTACTAAGCGCTATAAGGCGAAGCGTGGGAAGGCGGGTAGGATAAAAATTAAGGAAGTAATTAATCAGGCTAGGAAGAATACTGAGGAAATGAAGGGAACAATTCAGGGATTAAACTGCATTGTTATGTTGCCTGAAGCCGAAGTCGATGTAGACCAACATAAACCGATTGTGGGACAAGGCCACATGATATGCGCTATTTTAGAGCGGCCAGCGAATCCCGCGGATCGAAAGCGGAAGGAGAACTGTCTGTGGGATCAAGGGAAGCATGAAGACAAGGAAGAATCACCCTGGCCTAATGCCATTCTGGAATTCACGGAGTTTGACAAATGGATCGAAGGCGTAGAGGCCCGCAGCTTACCTGTGCCGCTCCTTCAACTATTGGGGCAATACCGGCCTTTGTTCCCTGATAGCCTCCCGAACGGACTCCCTCCTAAGAGGCCCTTTGACCATAGAATACTTCTTATCCCTGGGAAGTTACCTACAAAGGCACCTATCTATAAAATGCCACCAGATCATCTGCTCAATCACTCTCAGGAAATAGAACGACTCTGTGCAAAGGGGTGGATCAGTCCAACTTACTCTCCAATTTGCGCCCCGACGATCATGCTCGATAAAAGAGATGACGGGTCGGGAGAAAGGAAGATGT